TCCGCCTGCCTGCCCCACGCCTGCCCCACACCCTCACCTGTCCCATGCCCTGCCCGCGTCTCACCCCACGCCCTGCCCCGGCTGGTAATGCGCCGGGGTGCTCCGGCGACCTACTGGGGCCACCTCCGGCATCTGGGGGGGCTGACGGGCACCTTCCCCCCTTTCTAGGGCTGAAAGGGGGAGCCCCGACCTCCGGCCCGGGGGGGTCCAATGGCCCCACCTTCACCTACACCTTCCGGGGCGACCCCCATGCCATGTTCGCCGAATTCTTCGACGGTCGCAACCCCTTCGACACCTTCTTCGTCCAACGCAATGGGGATGACGACGACGGTGACGACGCCTTCACCGCTTTCCACGTGGGAGGTTTCGGTAACGTCGGCTTCTCCCGGGGTCGGGGGGGACCGGAAGGCCCCTGCCGTAAGCAAGACCCCCCAGTCCTCTATGACCTGAAGGTCTCCCTGGAGGAGATCTACAGCGGTTGCACCAAGAAGATGAAGATCTCCCACAAGCGTCTCAACCCCGATGGGAAGACGGTGCGTAACGAGGACAAGATCCTCACCATCGAGGTGAAGCGGGGTTGGAAGGAAGGCACCAAGATCACCTTCCCCAAGGAGGGCGACCAGACCCCCAACAACATCCCTGCCGACGTTGTCTTTGTCCTCAAAGACAAACCTCATGGCGTCTTCCGCCGGGAGGGCTCGGACATTGTCTACCCGGCGAAGATCAGCCTCCGCGAGGTGGGTGGGTGGTCACAGCGGGTGGGTTGGTGTTGCTGGTGGTGGTGGGGACGTCATGGGTGGGTTGGTCTTGGCAGTAGGGATGTTACGGGTAGGTTGGTCTTGGTGGCGATGGCGGTGGGGATGTCATGGGTGGGTTGGTCTTGGTAGTGGGGACGTCAGGGGTGGGTTGATGGTGGCGGTGGGGATGTCACGGGTGGGTTGGTCTTGGTGGTGGTGGGGACTTCTGGGTGGGTTGGTCTTGGTGGTGTTGGGTGGGTTGGTCTTGGTAGTGGGGACATCAAGGGTGGGTTGGTCTTGGTGGTGGTGGGGACATCAAGAGTGGGTTGGTCTTGGTGGCAGTGGGGATGTCAAGAGTTGGTGGTCTTGGCAGTGGGGATGTCATGGGTGGTTTGGTCTTGGTGGTGGCGGTGGGGACGTCAAGAGTGGGTTGGTCTTGGTGGTGTCAGGGGTAGGTTGGTCTTGGTGGCAGTGGTGGGGACGTCTGAGTGGGCTGGTCTTGGTGGTGGGGATGTCATGGGCGGGATGCTCTTGGTGGTGGTGGTGGGGACGTCAAGAGTGGGTTAGTCTTGGTGGTGTCAGGGGTGGGTTGGTCTTTGGGACCTCCGGGTGGGTTGGTCTTGGGGGTGGCAGGGGGGGCATCTGGGGGG